TGGGCGGGATCACCTTCACGTGGGTGGACCACGCTGAGAGCGGTGCGTGCTCGCGGGGCTTCCTGCACAGGGACTCTGGGCCTTGGCCACTGGTGTTTCCGTGTTCAGTGCCTGGGGTGTTGCTCTGTAACCAGACAACCAAGGGGTCCTGGCTGCCTGTCGCTACTTGAGCCCATTCAGCAGAGACGGGGTTGACTCATATGTGCGTTTATTCCAATCCTGCCGGCAGCGTGGGAGAGCAGCAGGTCAGCCACAAACATCTGCTCACCCTCCACCATCGCCAGCTGCTTGTGTTGGGTAGGAGGACAAAGATCATGTGGGGAAGAGGGGATTAAAGGCATGGGAAAGTGGGCACGGGGCAGTCACAACAGGCTGCAAGTCATGCGGGTGCGGGGTACGAGGGGGGGCTAGCGGGCGCCTCCAGGCACTCCGGGACCAGATTACAGGCCATGGGGGCTGGTGGTTGTAAAGAGCAGGTGCCTCCGGACTAGACTTTCTCGGCCACGAGGTTGTAAATCTTTCCATGATGACAGACAGTTCTCAGAAGGAGGATAGAATGAATTCTGATGTGAGCTCCCCTGTCCCAGGGCGCACAGCTCCCAGCCAGGTTCGGATGTGCTTTCTCTAATCAGAACAGAGCCATCGTGGTTAACAGAGCACGGTTAATACTCCTTGTAATTATCATTATAATGCGTTTTCAATACGCTATGTCTGCCCCTAACAATTCGGCCTGTCAGTGGGTTTGAATATTCATGGTACTGTCGTCCCAGATCACAGGGACCCTGACTTCCTCCCCCCGGGGCGGTGTCCTGGCTCATGGGGCGATCTGTCCTGTCGGACTGCAGAGGGGGCTGGCACTGTGTTATGACCAGCGATGTGAAGACACCGTGGGCAGGAGGCATGGCCACAGAGGATGCCCGAGGAAACCTGACCACCGGCTCTCTGCTCCCCAGGAGAAGTGAGGTTCCACTCTGTGGAGCCCTACAATAAGGGCCGGCTGTCGGCGCTGCCCTTCGCCGACATCCTCCGTGACTACAAGGTTATTATGGCCGAAAACATCCCTGAAAACCCCCTGAAGTACCTCTATCCCGACATCCCCAAGGACAAAGCCTTCGGGAAACACTACAGCTCCCAGCCCTGCGAAGGTCAGGTTCTTTCCGTTTGCTTTCTTTTTTTTATATTTTGGAAAATAGCCTCACACCAGGTTAAAGGAAAACAAGTTCCTCTTTGAGTCTAAGATCCAAAGACCACGTGGAGGTCAAAACCTTAGAGAGAAGTGGCGTGTCAGCGGTTCCTGGAAAGGGACAGCCTGCTGGCCAATCCGTGGCTGTGGCCATACCTCGCCGTGGCCGTGGCCATGGCCATGGGGGCCTCTCCCAGCCGCTTGCAGAGTTTGGGTTTCTCCTTCCTTCTCCGGACCCACAGCCTTCACTTCTGTGACTGGGGGAGAGGCAAATAAGGAGGAGGTGATCAGAAAGCCGTTACAGGTCCAGCAAGTCTGTTTTTTGCAAAAAAAAGCCCAGGGCTTATAAGCTTTATATATATATATATACTAGAGGCCTGGTGCACGACATCTGTGCACTGGGGGGCAGGGAAGGGGGATTCCTTCAGTCCGGCCTGTGCCCTCTTACAGTCCGGGACCCCTCTGGGGATGTCCGCCTGCCGGCAGACAGACATCCCTCTCTCAGTCCAGGGCTCTTGCAATGTGGGACCCCTCGCTCCTTACTACCTGCCTGCAGCGGAGGAGGGAGAGGCTCCCGCCACTGCCACTGCACTCTCCAGCTGTGAGCCGGCTTCTGGCTGAGCAGCGCTCCCCCTGTGGGAGCACACTGACCACCAGGGGGCAGCTCCTGTGTCGAGCATCTGCCCCCTGGTGGTCAGTGTGCATCATAGCAACTGGTCGTTTTGCAGTTCAGTCAATTGCATATTAGTGTTTTCTTATATAGGATATATTTTTTACTTACGATTATGATTGGTATCAGTTTGTTTTTTAGTATATTTTTATGGATTTCAGAGAGGAAGGGAGAGGGAGAGAGAGATGGAAACATCAATGATGAAAAAGAATCATTGATCGGCTGCCTCCTGCACGCTTCACACTGGGGATTGAGCCCACAACCCTGGCATGTGCCCTTGGCCGGAATCGAACCCAGGACCCTTCAGTCCGCAGGCCTACGCTCTATCCACTGAGCCAAACTGGCTAGGACTTGATTGGTGTCCGTTTTAATGAGAAAAACTCAATTACTATAAATACCCAAATACACAAATGAATCAGTCATTATAATCAAAATTAAATGGAACTGTATCTCACAACTCAGAATTACTCATGTGCCCAGGAGAGGACCAGGGAGTCTGCGTAACATCCCCCGCCTCCGGGGCTGCCAGTAACAAGTCCCCACATGTCTGCCCCCCTCGGTGTATGCTAATGGCCTAAAAGAATCCTGGCCACAGAAGGCATGTGGTTAAACACTGGTTGAGTCTATGCAAGAACATTCATGAAATTAGCTACACAGCTGTAATGTAAGTTCGCCGTTTTGGCCCTTTAATGAGAGTATAACCATCCATTAAAATGTTCAGCTATAGCAACTAGATCCATGAGCACCATCTGTGGACTGTCCTACCATCATCACGGTAGGGTGACTGTTGCCACCCTACTTCATCCCCTTCTGAAATAAACAACAAAATAACACAATGACAGACCCTAAGTGTCTTTACCTCTGACCAAATGAAGCAACAAATGCCAATGAAACAAATGACAGTTGGTCCAAATGACAGCGGGAGCAAGCACAATGCCAGCATAGGACAGCAGGGAAACGGGCTCTTTCCAAGGCTGGCGTCTGCACATTCTGTGACCATAGCACAGCAGTGCTTCTAGTAGCACTGATGTCTGTGCTTCAAAAATTTGTGAAATTATAAGATCATGATTGGTGTCAGTTTTAATGAAAAGAACAGAATCACTTTAAATTCCCCCAAACACAAATAAATCAGTCCTTATAATCAAACTTAAATGTAATGTAGAAGCGAGTAATATAGTTGATTTCCCAGTTTTTCTTTTCTTAATGTATATTTTTACTGATTTCAGAGAGGAAGGGAGAGAAACATCAATGATGACAGAGAATTATAGATTGGCTCCTTTCTGCATGCCCCTTCCTGGGGATGGAGCCCACAACCCAGGCATGTGCCCTGACAGGGAATCGCACCGTGAACTCCTGGTTTATAAGTTGACGCTCAACCATGGAGCCAAACCAGCCAGGCTGATTCCCAATTTTTCTCATGCACTTTAGAGACATTCATATGTAAAGTTAGATTGGACCTGCCAAAAGATGTGTTTTTCTCTTCTTGCACCTTTTCTGCACATCTAAAATACTCAACTAAAGAGTTTCGTGAATCAATAAGCTTTTGTATCATCTCTCTTATTTTTCAGCATTACTCATATCTTTCTAGACTTTTCTAATGTCATCAAGAATATCGGTAACGTGTTTCCCAACACTTTCTTTTCCAGTTTCACGACCGACAGAAAAGGGGGACAAAGGTTATGTTCCTTCTGTTTTTATCCCCATCTCGACAATGTAAGTAATCTCAGTTGCATGTAAAATGTTCATTATTGAACTCATCCAAAAAAGAAGCCTTCCTGTAGGAACTCTAAGGGCGGAGAAAACACACACACCCGAGAATAAAGCGTTTTGTGCTCACGCTCCGCTTTCCTGAATACACACAGCTAGTCTTCCAGACACGCCACAGTCTACCCGGACTGCAGCTACGAAGCTGCCCGGGACATGCCATGCCTTCCAGTCGCTGATGCTGTGATGTCAGGTGATGCATGAGGCATCTCAGTGTCACCACCAGATAAAGCCCTGGGAATGCGTTCCTGGCGCAGGAAGCCACAGGCGCTATGACTGGTTCAGCCTCTTCGCTCTTTTCCTTGTTATTTCTTTAAGCCGAAGCGATTCAACCGAGCCACAGTCTCCATCAGACCTTCTTCCGATGTCGCCCAGTGTGTACGCGGTGCTGAGAGAAAACCTGAGTCCCACGACGATCGAAACCGCAGTAGGTTCCCTCTCTTCTCCAGGCCCTCCTCCATGGTCAAGGGCATTCCCTGTGCGGAGCCAGGGCCACGAGAAAACAGATTCATTAGCATAACACAAGGATGTCTGTATGGGCCTGTGTGCCACTGCTCTTACCCGTGTGGAAAGCAGGCATCTTTACTTGCTTGAACGGCTTTCAGTTCTTCCCATCTCAAGCCACCACAGGGCAGAATATTCCTGAACCCTCTCAAATACGCTTCGTCCCTAATTCCACTGTTGGCCATGCCAGTCCCCGCCTCTCTCTCCACTGAGCAGACCACACGTATTAGTCAATACTTATAAGCTTACTTTAATATTTACTTTAGCAGTTCAAGCACCACCAGTTCCCATTTTTCTTGATGAATTGTTGCTCGCATTGTTCGTCCCGGGAGCCCTCTGCCAGTGGTATATGAAGAACAAAGACAGTGTAATACTACTCTTCTGAGAGCTGCGTCATAATTGTAAATGCAGTAATGAGATTTAGGGTGCCTTCCATCTGTTCTCATGCCCCAATACTGTCAAGCAGTTCAAACCCCCAACTTGCACCACGATGAACGAACGTCAGAGTAATAGACTCTTGGAGGGACTCTGAGGCCCGAGAAATGTCTGTCTGACTATAAATCAAGTGGGTTTTAATCCTTTTCCTGAAAACTTTTAGGGATGAAAAATCCATAGTCGCCTTGGACGGCCATTCCGTTGTTAATTGTCCTAACAACGGAATCATGTAGTTATGAGAGAACTTTTGCTACATTTTGCACCCATTTCTTCTTACTTTTAGCAAGATGAATAGGCCTTCTTTAAACAGTTTTTATCCACTTAAAGGCATCTTTTGAATGCTTAGTAGTTAATTGGTACAATGATTATGGAGTAGTTAGTAGCCGTGGATGTTTGCATAAGAAATAGTGATTTATTTGCCAAGCAGTCATTTCCTCAAAGGTCCTTTTCACTTTTCAATTTTAGATGAAGTCTCCCTATTCTGCTGAATGACAGGATCAACTCCTGACACGCACAGGAAAGAAGCAAAGGGAACCTGAAAGACTGATGTCTGCCAGCACTCACATCTTCTTTCTTCAGCTCTGTATATGCCCCATGGTTCAAGCTCTCCTCTCGCTGGCACCCCTAAACCAAAGCTTCAGATAAACTTGCAAGATAAGAGACTTTTAAAAACCAAGTGTTAATATGATATGAACCAAAGACTCATTTGTTCATCCGTGTTGCAGCTCTGACTTTGTTTCTCCTGTGTTACTGATGACTTTGGCCCTAGAAGGCTCAAGGTTAAGATTTCAGAATAGGGGTCCTGATACATGGTGGCAGGAGAAGACTTGACTTTGGGTGGTGGGCACGTGGTACAATATACAGATCCTGTAACATAGAAACCCACGCCTGAAACCTATATGATCACGTTGACCAATGTTACCCCAATAAATTTAATTTTTTAAAAAAAATGATTTTAAAAAAAGATTTCAGAATAGGTCAAGAATAGCAAGGCCGCACTGCATTACTCAGAAGCCAGCAGGAGCACCTGAGGGAACAGCCGACTAAGCCAGCGTCCTGAGTGCCCACAGGGAAGAGTCGTACATGACCCAGCCTGGCGGGAATAACAGGGCAGAGACAGCTGGGTACCCAGGGCTGAACTAGAAAGCCTCCTGACTGTCGTGTCCACAGGGTCCCAACTTTGGGGTTCACAGCTGCTGGGATCACTGCCAGGGATTCCTCTGTTGGGGGGAAGCCCCAAAAGTCTAAATTCAGGGTGGATTCTGACACGCAGCCTTCTTCAAATCCATAAGAGCTTTAATAGGAGAAACGTACATACTCGGGCAAGGCAGCTGCTGCCAGTGCCGGCCGGGCAGGAAGAATCCCTCCCTCCCAGGACTGGGTCTCTTTATAGGGGTTTGTAGTAAAACCAGATGGTGGGCAGCCACTTACTAGTAGACCACCAGAAAGAACAGTGCTCTCCTGAGTTAACAGATAACATCACGCAGGGATCACACTCTATACATTCGTTAACCTTCCCGGGAGCATGGTGTTCGTCTTTGGGTGGCATTCCGGCTTTCTGGGTCGTCAGCCAAGCCTGGGGTTACAGAGTTAAGAATCCAACATGTCCCAGATGCCTTTGCAGCTGGGGCCTATTGCATCGCAGTGACTTCCCGTAAGCCTCTGGGGATGGGGACCAGAGTCCCTCCTGGTGGCATATGGGGCACTGATATTACGGACCAGACTGGATGCTTAGCGATGCCATCGCCCAGCGGTTGCTCTGAGTCAGAGGGTGGGATCCCTGGTGCCAGGACCTGGGCGGGTCTCTATGCCAGGCATCTGCATGACTCACTGCAGGGGCAGGGGGGGTCGGGGGGGAGCCCGAGGCTGCTGTCCACCGGGAGCCCTGACTCAGGCAGAAATGTCAGTCCCTCTGAGGATCCTCTCTAACCTCCACCCTTTCCTGACCCCCAGGCAAGCAGACAGGGAGAGGCCAATGTCCCATGAAAAAATTTAAAAAATAAAAAGATTTAACATAACCTACCTTCCTAACAGGAGATTCCGTCTTATCAGTCCCCTCTCTGCCCCGGAATATTTATTTTCTGCCAGCTAGGAGCAAACAAGCAGCATCTAATGAAACACAAGGTAGATTTTCAAAATATCAGTCATGTTTCCACTTTCCCCTCACCCATCCCACACCCGTCACAGGTGTCCATCTTGCTAATGCCTTTTCTGATGCTTTTTAATGTAAAGAATAATATTCTTTATGGTCCCAGTGCTGGACCGTCATTCTTAACAGATCTTCCCAAAGTCACATTTTCATCTCTCGTTATGCTTCAGCTCATCTCCCATCTCATCCCTTCTCCCCAACAATGGCTTCTTTCTTATCCTCCACAATTGTACTGAGTATCGGCGCCTTCATCTGAAGAAAGGCGCTGCCAGTGGACTTCCTCAAAGTCTCGAGGGAGCAAGGAAAGTCCCCGAAGAACCCTAAAGTGCGAATGGGAGTCTGCAAACCCAAGGGGTTTTCTGCACCTCACACGGGTTCAGGACGCCCATGCACGCCCCCTGGCAGAGGACAGAGTGAGGGGACAAGCCGCCCTAGCACAGCGCTCGCAGCAGATGCTGTAGCCTAGACTTCGCCAACTGGCCTCTGTGTGCACACACTCCAGTTTCTGACAGACGACCGCCTTCTGTCACCTGACCACGAGCACTGACTGACTGATGACTGCATTTTGAAAAGTCTGGCTTACTGAAGTATAGACAGTAACAGGCACCTTTCCTGACAGGCCCATAGGTGTGTAACCAGCCCTGTAAGACACGGAGCATTTCAGCCGGAGTCCTCCCAGGAGGACGCCGTGAGAACAGGGTGAAGAGGACACGCTCTGCAACACCTTCCAGTAAACACAGCAAACAGCTCCACGTGCCTCCTGTGTAGGCAGAGCAGAGCGCTCCACTGAAAGCAAACTGATCCTTTCAGTCGCTGCTTACACTCTTCAAATGGCTCGTGACGCTCGGGCGTAGCAGTGCTCGCCGAGAGAGTATGCACAGAATTCCCGAGGGTTGTGGGTTTGCATGGCAAGAGTTAGGAGTTTATTTCTACCAACTTGTTGCTGAAACGGAAATTCCTTTAGAGAGATACAACGCCAACAAACCATGACCTACACCATGTTCTCATCACAGTTGCTACATTTATCTCAAAATATCGCTTGTGCTAAGCACGGTTTTGAGATTGCATTCATCAGACCCATTGCTAGATCTTATGTGGCGCCATTAATAAAGCACTTATATTACAAGGTTGGTGTTAATATTTTGATACCTGTATTTCAGTGGTTTTGGTTTCCTTTGGAATCTTACGTATTTTATTCAACTAAAAACATTATTCCTTGAAGGAATCCCTAGGTTTCATTAGACTGCCAGAGAAGCTCCTGGCACAAAAAACAATCAAGGTTCCCAGCTCCGGACCATAGTTCTAACAGATCTTTCCAAAGCCATTTTTTAGTCTCTTTTTATGCTTCAACTCATCTCTCATCATCACTTCTCCCCAAGGGCTTCTCAGCCTCCAGAGCATACACAGGAGACGGAGTGAACTACTTTCAGTTTCTCTGGTGGTCACGCTCGCTCTCAGCTCCCTCTGCCCTATCCTCTCAAGTCTTCAGCCCCATCTCACCTACTGGATTAGGATCGGACATCCTCCAGGCTCTGAAAGGCCTTCCTTTCAAACACGCACGCACGCGCGCACACACACGCACATGCGTGCACACACGGCTCAGGTCACGTCACGCCTGCTTCACATCCTCTAGCTCCCAGCACGGTTCTTATCACCTTTATTATAAACGTGTATCATCTGCCTTCTTCTTAGACTCTCTGCAAGCTCTGCATGTGCATGGACGAAGAAGGCTTTCTTCATAGGTATACCCCTAGAACCTAGCACTCTCTGCTCTCTAGTGCGTATGCTAATGATTTGGTGTTTGAACCCAGGGAGGATGGTAATGAATTCCTTGCTTTCCTTTACCCCTGGGTCTGCCTGCAAGACTACGCTAGAATTCCCTTTATGATGCCTTCAGACTCTAAAATCATGGAACAGTCCCCAATTAGACTTCGAACTGAATAACCAAAACACGCTTGCGATTGCTCAAGCAACATAGGGATCCCCTTCTGTCACTCCCCTCTGAACCTCCCCACTCTGTAGCAATGCTCTGGAATGACAGCTTGAAGTTATCTTACTCTAACTTCCCTTCCATCTGGATACCTCGTGTGCCAGGTATCCCGGACATTGCCCATGCAAGAGTTCCTGGAACTTCCCCCTAATTCCTCTCCTTAAACTCAGGGCCCGACTCCTCCTGCCCCGGGTAAAATCCCACCCCACTGTCTTACCTAAGGTTTCACAGTCATCCACTTGATGTCTCACCACTGCCTCTGAGGAAAGAATCTTGGAGGATGCCTAGACAGGGTGGGGATGGGGAGAGGTTAAAGGGCGTGGGAGAATGGCGCTCTCATTACAATCCTTTCCCGGAGCCCCGGCTGGCATTGCTCAGTGGTCAGAGCATGGGCCGCACACCCAGGGGTCTCCAGGTCAATACCAGGTCAAGGGCATGTACTTGGGTTGCAGCTTTGATCCCCAGCCCTAGCTGGGGCATGTGTGGGAGGCAACCAACCCACGAGACCCATCCATCTCTCTCTCTCTCTCTCTCTCTCTCTCTCTCATCTTTCTTTCTCTAAAAGCAATGAAAAAGAAGGGAGGCAGAGCTGATTAGCAGGCTCTCCAGGGAACGCCGAAGGCCCGATGCTACTCAAGTGCCCCAGGAAGGAGTGGGTCCTGGCCTGTTTCTTCATTAGATCAGGTCTTCACTGGTTTTACCTAAACAGGTAGCCAGCCTTCTGCAGAGGAAGCCCCGCCCAGGCCCCTGCCAGGGCCTTCCCGCTCCCTGTGCAGTCCCCCGGGCGGGCAGGCGGCAGGCAGCCGGCTTGGTTGAAGGCTCTGCTGCTGCCTTCTTGAAATTTTAGTACATTTGGAAAAGGGGCCCCACATTGTCCCTTTGCACTGGAAACTATCCATGCCCTCTCCTGGAGGCTGGAGAAGACGGGCACCGTCTGCACTGTGGGGTCGGGGCAAGTGCAGCCCTGGGGCCTGGTGCGCTCGCTCACTGCAGGCTGGAGGCTGGGTCCAGTGGGGTGGGTCCCCTCACCCTGGAGGTCCTTGGTTGGTCCCCAGGCCCCTCTTAGTAGGTAGGCAGAGCCCTTTAAGAGTGGGTGAGCAGAGCCCCCAACGTGAGACAGTGCCTGCCGGAACCATTGGATGAGCCGCGCAGGCTGCAGGCAGAGCCGCCACACTTTCCCAATCACGGTCCAGTGACTGTCATGCTCGCCCCCGCCCCCCTCGCTTCTCCCACCCCCTCAGTATAATCGCTGGGAGAAATGCGACCCTGAGCGAGGAAAGCCCTGGTGGGTCTAGAGCAGCGGTTCTCAACCTGTGGGTCGCGACACCTCCATATCAGATATTTTCATTACGATTCATAACCGTAGCAACATTACAGTTATGAAATAGCAACGAAAATAATTTTATGGTTGGGTCACAACATGAGGAACTGGGTCGCGGCATTCGGAAGGTTGAGAACCACTGGACTAGAGAAAGGACAGCCCCAGAGACAGCCAGCCCCGCTTCATCTCTGGTTCAAGGTCAGGGACCCCGCTGTGAGGGGCAGAGCCTGCAGGACCCGCAAGGCCCCAGCGAGCCGCGTGCAGACGGTGCGGACGGAGAAGCGAGGTTAGGACGGGGACGACTCCCAGGGAAGCGCACACGCGGGGAGTGGGACGGGCGAGCTGCCCAGCACCTGAAGAAACGGGACACGGTCCCCTCCCG